CTAGCCCTGACATATACGTCTTCACTATGCCTTATGTACGTGTCACAAAACTTCAGATACCAGGTGCAACTTCAACACTAACTTCAGAAATAGAACCACTAAAGCTCTCTGTAGGAGAGCTGAAGACTGAGATGCGAGATGTAAGATGTAGTAAGGCTGTGAATGCAGAATGTTCAGAAAATTTGGCCAGCATATCTGATCTATCAACACAGATTGGTGACATAAAACTGCAGATCTAAGAACTTACTCCTATAAACATCCTGACCAGGACCATAAACTTTGGCGAACTTGGCACAGAATTGTTAACTGAGGTAGACATCCTGATAAACTTCATCACAACTGGGGTTATTAAAAGACTAGATATAAAACTAGGTATGATAGTCTAAAATAAACCAGATAATGAGGGGTTGAAGAAAGTTCTAGTCGTCTTTCTTACTTTACTTCACTTACTTTAATTTGATTACAGCTTGATGGCACGCCGTATTTTCGTACAAGTGTGGAATTTTCAGCATGTGATATCAGTAGCCCAAATTTTGCAGGCCGACCATAGATATCGGTTGTGCGTCGGCAGGGGATCAAACCCCGGACCATGTGCATGGTCGGCGAGAGTCCTAACCGCTGTGCCACCGGCGCACAGGGCTCACTTAGGGCGGCGAAAACACCTAACTCCTAAACAAAGTGTCACAGACTGAAAAAGAATCAGCACGACCACAGGTACCCCATACGCCTTCAGTTGGAAACACAGACAGAGGCTAAGAAATTCATCAGTTCACGAATAACCCTGTTGCAGGATACGGGCTACAAACAAATAAAAGTTGTAGCAGATAAGACAATGACTGTAAGGAAGCTTACGATCGCCTCACTAAACTTAATGGTATGAAGGGCGAGACACTACAGTTCACCAAAACAGATAAACCCATGGCCAACACGGCAGGACTCACAGGCTCACCCCTCTCGAATCCCACCACACTAGCCCCACGGAACACGATATCAAACTATACTTGTGGATTATAGTCTTATCCCTGGATTAGCCCTTCTATCCTCCACTGTGGATCTAAATATGTCTCTGGATAGCCCTCAGACGGAAATCAATGCCTCCCGTAAATCGACAACATCCTCTCCTCACTGTAACGTGAGAGTTGAAAGGGAATTCAGAAACGAAACATGCCAAAATACACCACCCTTAACGAAACCCCCTTGCATTTTAAAACTTGAGAAGAGTCCACGCCGTAAGGTACGTTATATACAAAACTATGCCAACAACCACATTAAAAGCAAAAATAAGGCCATACTGTCCACGTATAATAGCGTCAGAACATCCTCGCATAATATGCCAAGTTGCACTAAAGCCCACACTGATAGCTGGTGTAGCAACACCATCAGGCAAAATGGCACTAGTGGAAACACCCAGAGCTCACCTCCCAACCACCCTGGGCCTTCAAAGCATAACACACAAACTTTGACAGAATGTATGGAACAAGTCTCATGGCAATCAAACCACAGTGCAGTAATTCATATGACGAAACCCATGTAGGGTCACTTAGAATGTCTCCAAATAAAGGCACATTAATAAGCCGTGGGCCTCACAAGGTACCAATGATTTTTTATCCAACCCATCCCTGTCAGCGCTGACCAAACAACTGGTGGGGATGTTAGCTCTTCTGAACCCACACCACCAACAGACACAGGCTATTGTACACGGAATTACCAATCACATCTAATGCTTGTTCAAGCGTAGGCCAAACAAGAACTCCTACACAAGTTTCCAACCTACTCAAGCCTAGAACTACCTCATCCTCTAATGAACCCGATAACAAAACTCATTATTCACTAAAAGAAATAGATGGTAACTCGATACACGTAGATGAACATGGTACTCACCCTAATTGTAACACAGGGTCGTCATGCCATGGGGAAACGGTGGATGCCGATCTACACTTGAGCCCGATTGACGAGCTTAAATACTCCAAACATTACTTCAACTCTCAATTTTACTTAATCCTTATTAATGCTAGATCTATCCTGAACAAATTACCGATGCTCAGGGCACATACGCTTGTATAAAGACCCTCGATAATCATTATTACTGAATCCTAGTATCACTCCGATAAACCAGACGAAGAAATGAGCATTGATGGGTACACACTACTGCCTAATGTACTTCCTGAACACACTTAATGTGTTGCAGCTAGAAAATAGGGAACTGAATGATATACATGACACCTTATGGGTCAAAGTGCACTTCAGAAGTGCTACAACACTAATAGGATGTATCTAAAGAGTACTTGGCACCTTTAGTGATTACGAAACAACTTCAAAATGCACTGGGGCAAGTATCCACTCTTTCATATGAGCATAAGATCATATGTGAAGACTTCAACCTACCCGAAATCAACTGGGATTTATTCACAGGCCCCAGCTAAGTATGACAAACTCTAAGGTACACTGGACGTTTTCGGCTGGAAACAAACTGTCACTATCCATACAAGAGGTGACAACGCAGTGGACTTATTTTTCTGTCACGATATAAGTCCCCTCTTAATCTTGGAGGGTTCTAAATTTTCAGACAGTGACCGCAAAACAGTGATGTGTGTACTGACACTTCCACTGAGTGGCGATGCAGCTTATACCTCCACTTCACAACAAATAATATATAGGAACTATAGTAAGGCAAACTGGGCTTCAGTAGAATTAATGCTAAGACCCTCTGAATGGGGAGAATACTTCATCACTGATAACCTCTCAAGAGTTCTGAGCATCTTCTACCAGAACTCTAACACATGCTTAGATGCAGCCATTCCACTCCAAACACTAAAAGTCTCCTCATATATAAATTCATTTATAAAACCAAAGGAACCTAAGAAATTGAAGAGACTCTGAACAAGTTACTTCAAATACCAAGATTTCGGAACACTAGGTTAACTACTTAACGCTCTTAGCTCCATCTCACAAGCTCGAGATTTGTGTATGAGAAACGAAGAACGCACCGTACTGGTCAACTCTGCTAGGGAATTTGAATTGCGAAAAGTCAGTGATCATGTCAACAGACTACTCAGATACACAATCATACCATAGTGGAGCTGCTCAGCTCTAGCCTGTCAACAATCCAGTAATCCACTCCACGTCTCAGTCTACTCAGATAAAAGTCAACCGTTGAGGGTTCATTTGATTTTACAAACTTCTTTGGTGCGTCACTGTACGACTGATGTGTTAAGACAGTGGTTGAAATTCAATTAAATGTTTACGCGGGGTGAGGATTGCAACATGTATTGGTATCGTAGGTACTGGATACCGGTGAGACCAATTCCAAAAATTTGCCCACTTTATCGAAAGATGCATCGATCTTCTTAAGTATATTTTCTTGAACAACACTTCCTCGAAAGCACTTCTCCCGAATGATAGTTTAGAGGCTGACGCTTTTGACGTTCGCGGATTTTACGGAGTATACTAACGCAAGATCATATACCCGCAACTTCCATAGTATTCTTAACGCGTAGATCAAAGGCAAACCAAAACACCACAATTGATTGTCCAAATTACGATGTATATTTCAAGACCAAGTCGGAGTGTGAGATGATTGCTTAGCTAGGGATCGTGCACGAAAGTGACACGATGGAATACCAAATGTCGTGGATGCTTGGTCGGAGGCCTTCAGCTAAACAAGTCAACTTAAACAGTGATGTGTGTTGTGGCCAATAATTTTGGGGAATTATTTACCGCTACACTAGTATTCATCCTATACTCTGATCACGGCTTTCTTGAAGTCCTACGACGAAATACATAGGTAACTGTCTACAGAGACACAAAGCAGCAGACATTAACGTAACAGCCAAACCAAAATATCGAAATAGATTTATCCTATAGCACTAACAGCTCAATGAAATTTTCGGTCAGCAATCATATAAACCAATCACACTGTAAGCCTTCGATTTTGTGGTTATCTAGAGTCCAAAATTAGTCAACGTAATAGGTAAACTAAATGACGGATGGTGGACAGAAGCGTGAGTTTTAGCAAATAATATTTAAGAGAATCAGAGGTGAAGTAAAAGCTGTACTATTCACTAATCTACGGTTTATGACTTCTAGTTTTTTGTCGAACTCGTGTTTGAGTGGGATAAATTTTGTCATGTGACGTGATAAAGAACATGCTTAGCTTAAAAATGTGGTAATGCGATACATTCCATATAAAAGAACTGGTAGATTCTGTAATCTTTCGATGCGGATGACCTTTAAGATGTACATGATATTATCTGCACTTCCCAGGTGACGGCGATAATTCCATCGAAATGTCACTCTTGAAATAATAGAGGAGATTTGCAGCTCAGGTGAATGATTCACAATTAATAGTGTTCTTTGAGCTGGTTGGTTTAGTTGCGGAGCTAAATGGTGCTCTGAAGATGTTGTCCAGAAGGACGACGAAGGCTCCGCAACTAAACCAGCCAGCTCAGGGAACACTATTAATTGCGAAATGCCGATCTTTTGCCATAAAGCAGTTAGCCGATAAGGTTGTGACTGCTTAGTGATGTTATGCGCTTGTGCTGGCATTCTTTCACAAGTGAAGTGGAGAATAAGCTGCTTGAATCTTCTGCGGCATTTCCTGTCTAGCCGGGTGTTGAGGAAGACGCCTTATCTGATTCTCAGCATTCTTTTCTGGCTCCAAACGTGATTTTCCTAATGGTCGGAATGTGAACTTGTATTTAGGTTCACTACCAACAATGAAAGTAAACTCAATGTATAAAAGGACAGTATACTGGCCGATAAATTCACATGACAAAAAAGACGATTCATTTCAGCAAATTATACTCTCAAGTTACCCCACAGTACTTCCCTAGGATTGCTCCCAGTGGAAAAAAGAGCTATCATCCGTGAATAAATCGAGAGATTTACAGTATACTTCGGCGAAACGCCGCTCATTTTGATCGGAAGGCAGGTCTTGAAGACTAATCTAAGACCCTCCTTATGAACATCAAGATAGCGCTAGTAGACGGGTGCAAAGCTATATGCATTCGGCATCCTTCTGTGAGCACACACTAACCTAAAACACACTACATTTAATTCAAGTTGCAGCTGGAGAATTCAGAGCTCTATGGAACCTCACTGGGAATGCCGAAACTTTGCTCCCCATCTCTTCATATTTCTTGAGGGATCCACGTTCAAAAATTGAATCTAGGGTTGGTTATCGTGTATTTTTTAGCTCTTACGGAAAAACATGACTTACTGGCAGTGGAACAGCATGGATTCCGACCACAGCAATCCTGCTTGCCAGGGATAAAAACCATCTACTGGACGTTGTATTTATCGATCTTAGTAAAGCATTCGATAAGGTGTCCCATTTGGGTCTCGTTAATAAACTTAAACATTCCGGATTAGACCAACGTTTATGTGAGTGGTTTAGTGACTAACTGATGGATAGGAGGCAGAAGGTAAGGGTTAATGGTGTACTATCAGGGTGGAAAGCAGTACTAGGTGGAGTACCTCAGGGAACTGTACTTGACCCCCTACGATTCCTATTATACGCAACTGAAGGTTGGTACTGTAAAGCAATCTAGCTGAATGGGCTAATGTTAGGAGTCTGGAAATTAATTTCAAGAATAAGCGCGGTAATGCACCGAGGTCAGAAGTCTTACACGTCGTACTCCATGGGGAACACAGAACTGACAGATGTTAGGGAACAAAAAGACTTAGGAATTATTGTTAGCAATGACTTAAAAACTACGGCAAACTGCAATCGAGCCGCAGCTAAGGCTTTTCGAATGCTATGGTCACTTCGAAGGGCTTTTAAACGATTAGACGAGGATATGTTTGAAGTTATCTATGCATCATATGTCAGGCCTCATCTAGAGTACTGCATACAAGTGGCGAGTCCGTGTTTCAAAAAGGAGGCACATACCCTGGAAAGAATACAGAGGGTAGGAACGAAATTAGTTAGTGGTATCTCACACCTTCCTTATGATAAGAGGATGGAGCATTTAAATCTCTTCCCGTTATCATATGGAAGGAAGAGAGGCGACTTAATTTTTAGCATATCTTGTACTTAAGGGTGATTTAGGAACTGACCTTTCTAACCTTTTCTCCCCTTCTAGGATACATTAACGGGGTCACCAGAAGAAGTTGCTCAAACCAAGGTCGAATAAAATATGGTTGGAGTTTAGATTCTCTCACAGAGTGGTCAACGAGTGGAACTCTTTAGGTGATTCAGTAGTAAAAGCTCCATCGGTGAACGCTTTCAAAGAGAAACTGGATCTCTGCAGAGATATATATCGCGAGGATTAACTTAGGCAAAAAGAGCCTTCTATCCTTATAATCTGAATTTGAAAGCTTTCAAAGAATCAGCTATAATTACGGTTACTTATGTAATTCATTTATCATATTAGGATATATTTAACCTAATCTCTTACCCTATCAAACTTTTTAGAAAGAGAGGGACACAGATGTGATCTAAAGAATTTTAATAAATGACCATGGACATTATCTACTTTCCCATTACCATTAAATCGAATTGACTGAAAGGATACAAGGATGGAACGCAAAGTGCACTGCTGTAGAGTAGTGGTTATCTCATGGGGTTATTAAAAATGAAAAACAAGACTTTAAGTTATTCTTTTGTTTGAAACCTATAAAACCTTGTAGGTTAAAGTAAGGCGGTAAAAGGTACCTAACAGCTGTTGACTCCGTAAGTGGTGTGGTGGATTGTTTCCCGCTCTGCTATTGCAACGCTTTACCCACATTACTGATTTGCTCCATATTTCTCCTTGGATCTAATACTAGTCGCAATAAACAGGTCTGATGAACGGTTTTGGTGGATAATATTGTTTGGTAAACTGAGACAGAACGTTGTCCCCTTACCTGACGTAGAACCCGATGCCTTTGCTAGCTGGGCACTCAGACTAGCAACCATAGATTCTGCCCTTGATTTGTGTTTTTATTTCAGTACTAGCATCAAAAATATCTTCTGAATTACAGTCTACTGGGTCAATGACTGGGACTACAGTCCGAAATATATTTTCTCCGTCAAGTGGTTTGGGCTCCATCCATGGACGCTTTCACAGGGACACATTAGGTCATAGAGGCATTGCAAGGATTGACACAGGCTTCAAGAGCCTGAGGCAGTTGTCGCCATAATGGGCTAACTGGGATTCATCACATGCAATAAACTAAAAGAAGCTCTTTTCAGTTGGTTGGTTTGACCAGTAAAACCTCACTCTAGGTACTCTGGTTCATAGCATGGTTATTCTTCGCCTACAAATTTTACTAACGGACGAGCCATTGATTTCTTCAAACTAACCGTTCAACACAGTGCAGACATATTCACCCCTTGTGTTCATCTTTACTGTGAGAATCCACATTCTCTCCATGCAACTATTCTTTGTTCCATATATTTTCGTTTGTTGTGATTCCATCGCGTTTCTCAGGAAGCAATCCAACAATTGACCTTAAAATCCGATCAGGAGTTAACCTACAATTATATCCCTGTTTTATTTAGATAGAGTTAGGTTTAATATTAGTTAAGGTTAGGGCTCCGGAGTCGGTACTATATTCATTGCCCATCTACTGAAAGTCGCATTGTAAAGATTGTTACGTTAAGGAATACTGACCAGTCAGAACAAACGAACGTGCAGATGTTGGTGTTCAGCAACTTGAAAAGGTTGCAGTTTTGCTGTTGACAATTCACATCATTATAATTAACACAACTATTCAAGTATATGGACTTTTAGTTATCTGTCGATGGTTAACTAGATTCTTTTGTTATTACATCTGTGTACATCAGAATTCTCGTATATTAACTGATGTAATAGTAACTCCTTTGTGAATATTTTACAGGTTCTTTTAACGCTGAAGGTTATTGTCAACTGAAAGGTATATATCGAGTACTGGATATAAATCAAGATGGAGAGTGATCGTGTTCTAATAGTAAAAATTGAACACTGGTACGTTTTCTAAGGTTTCACGTATATATAAAAATTTATATATTCGACTTAATTGGATAGTACCTTGATTTTTATGTGTTCAGCATGTCCAACTGACAACTGCTGCCTTGTGGTAGTTGGGCTTGCATACCGCATAAGCTTCACTGACTGAGACTTATGTTTCTGCAAGTCCTACCATGCCAGGAAGGTGGTTTCGGTTATAGGTTAGACTAAAGTTAGTTACTATAGGATACATGCACTCTAGTATCCTTTCGGATCGGATGTTTTGTGAAATTGTATTGGTTACCGGCAGCCATGGGAATATATCTCTTGACGACGTTGCTCCGCTACCTTACAAGTGTTAGGCAGCAAATCAAAGGCTTGGAGGTGAGGATGGTTCGTCAAGACAACTAACTGCTTCGGTCTGAGGAACTAAGCAGTATCACAACCCTCATACAATACAATGTGGCACATCTTCTTGGTGCCATATTCTACCAGGTTTTGTGTTTTAAATAAAATAAATAGTCAGCATAAATTTTCAGCGAGACGAAAATCTCTAATTTCTGCAATTATCCTCACTTATTTTTTCTGTTGTTGCCTTTTGTCGGAAACTTTTAATTATTTTTCATTGCAAATTTATGGGATTCATTTAGGCAACAAAAAAACAACCCAGTGGACTGTTCACCTTTGTCATCCGGTTTGTGAATGTTGTTCAGTTGACATTCTACTATTGAGTTACCTTCTGCGTTTATCAAGGCGTAGGCATGGGAAATATTTTTTCAACGTCACACATTATGAGTATGGGTGTTGATAATTTAGCGTGAGAACTCGTTTAGAACTCTTCTAGACATTGTAAGGCGTTCTTAATCATGTATGAAATAATAATACTTGTATGTTTTTCACATTGATTTAATCGAATTATGCTGATTTCATTTCGGTTTTTCTCCCACTCCTACTCATTTTATAGTGATGGATGATCTTATTTTCCCCGGGCACGAAGCCTTGGGTCTGCAATTCAACAGAAATTTAAATCAGCTTCTGTGGATATCTATGATGGTCGACCAAGTAAGTTGATCTAACGCCTTTAAACAACAATACTTAATGGCTACTGACTAAATAATGATAAACATTTTTAGTATGCAGTTTAATGACAATCTGCATTGACTGTGTGAGTTAATGTCAAGTTTGGTCATGAAGTACTGAACAGATGCTTCATTCTTGTTTAGGACTCTCCCAACAGTACTTTGGGGATGGAGTACAGAACCTTCTTGTCTACATCGTGAGCTCGTTGATCATTTAGCCACTGGGAAAGTGTTCAAATGGCTGGTTAATTCTAACTTCTGCCAATTCGCAATAAATGAATTACTTTTAATAAGGTTACTGTTATAGACTAATCAATAAGAAGACGTAATTTGTCTGAATTGCGTAATGTATTTGTACGCACAACACATTTCGAACAATCTGATCACACACACGGACTTGTCATAGGAATATGTATGAGGGGTGAAAAGATAGACTTAGGTTAAGTTAAAAGGATAAATTGAAGGTCAAAATAACAATGAAGACCATTAAACCAAATAATGGAGGTAATAGTACATCTGCCCTGGCTGGTGTCAAAACAAAGTTCACCGAGGAAGGTTTAGTGTGATGACGAATTGTTGCTTTGACCACATAAAGGTGCTTTAAACTTCTTAATTGCTAGCTAGGGCTTCCAAAAACTTTAGGATACGCCCCAAACACATTTTATAGATAGGTTTAAAAGATATGTTAACGTCAATTTTATGTCCCGTCTCTATAATATATTTCTCATTAGAGGAGCTAGGTCTCCTGTTCTTACCATTTTAACGGGTTCTGAAGATTCTATCTGCTTCTGGAGCTATTTGGGAATATTCTCTGAAGCCAGCCCTTACTTGCAGAGATCGACGAGTCCTCCCTATGTACGTGTGCTAACACGTACAGTAAAATTGGTAAATATAGTGGGATGTGACATAATTTTTCGCATGTCCAAAGGGCTTAGATGGATGGATATATTATTGGCTTCACATTTACAATTATTATGATATTAGCTGCATAAAAAGTCTTTTTAACAGCAAAGTTCGATTTTTGTCTAGTTATCAAGCTGCTATGATGCCCCCCATATAGGGTAGCTTGATGTACACGTCTTTGTTGGGGGCGAGTCGAAGAGTAGGTCTGGGTGTTCTGACTACTTTATATCCCCTGATGAACTTGTCTGGATAGTTATTGACAACCAGAGTCTCTGTCACCTTTCTTTTCTTTTCCATCAAGTGTGTCTTCAGTGCATATTCGTTAGATTCTACTCAAGAGGCACTTTACTTAAGGGTTTTTTGTACCTAACATGACGGATACTGTGGCAGTTAAGATACTGTCATGTCTAGGTAGGTTTTCTATAAATAGATCGGTTTATTGACCCATTAAGCCATCAACTAAGCAGTATGTCTAGGAAAGATAAACAATTATCTCCCTCTTCTACAGACGTAAGTTTATTTACCTAATACATCATGTCTTTATTATTTTTTCTTTCAGGTTCATTTGAGGTTACTGTAAATGACAAACTGATTTTTTCAAAACTAAAATGCGGTGGTTTCCCAGATACAGAAGCTGTAAGTTTTCTTTATTCATTTTCTTCAAACTTCCGTGAAAAATGTATTACATTACTGGGTCTATCGTTGTTGTTGTCGTTTCAGAGCATGCTAACAGAATGCCTGTCTTTAAAATTAAAACTCTAAGCCAGAGGGCTGTCAGTCAGCAGTCAGGTAATCTAGTAATCGACGTCATTTTACGACAGAATACTATTTAAGTCCCTTAGTCAGGCATTGACTGAATTGCAACTAGTAAACTTGAAGCATCATAAAGCCAGAGCCGCCAGTATTCAGTGAGTCGATATTCTTGTTTTTTTTTTTTTAAATTCCAGCCATAATTATTGTGAACACTAACAGAGATAGAAAGGTAGACGAACAAATAAGCTTAGGACTTTGCAAGACTTTGCAACAGTATCCACCTATAACCCCACTGAAGCACGAACTGAGAACTTTTCGCATATTAGTGTTATTGATCCATGTATAGATTTGATGTGGTATACAACCGAAGTGATAAAATGTTAACTTTACTTACTCTTAGTTCCTACTGTGTTCTAAATGGAACTTCTGGCTCCAGGCTTAATGTCTTGAAGTTTCATGAGTAAGCGTCGTGTTCTCAAAGGGTCAAGTTGCTAGCCTCATCCCCCAATCTTCTCTCTTTCCAAAATTTACTATCGACTGTGTGCTGAGTAAAGTGTGACGACTCGAACTGCTGCACATCGGTGCAAAGTTCCATATTGAAACCAGTCAGTCAGTCAGTCAGCCACTCCTTGTTCGACCAATTTTATTGACACAAGATTTTTTTTATTTCCTTATTGAATTTTAGATTATTTCTGAGTTGGTTGCAATAACAGAAGGTGAAACACCAAAAGAGGTAACCAAGTGTGAATCACCTGAATGCAATATTCTTTAAGTCAAATACACTGTCTTTCTCTTTTCCTGCTTGCGCGTGTTCGTGTGTGTGTATGCATGGAGTGTGAATAAACAGACAACGAAAGTGCCTAAAAAGACAAATTAATGACGTGTACAAAGCAAAATAATCTTTTAACCTTTGTACACCGATGAAAAATTGTCTTTACTTTCGTTTTCTTTATTCTTATTCTCCTGCTTGATTGTTTCCATGGAGGGGAATACCAACCAATTGTGTATTGATTCATTGTCCTTTTTCGTCGCCGTCTTTAGAACAGTGATTTATGATTGATTAAGACGTTTCTTTCTCCTAATGTAATCTAAATTTTAAAATATAGATGGATTTTTCTACATGTTTAGTTTTAATTCCCTTACGGAGCATACAATATTTCGTGTGATCGAAGTAATAAGGTTGTTTCATACATTTATTCCCCTTAATGAATTTGAACAAAGCAAGAACTTCAGTTTTAGCAGAATAAAATGGTACCATCTTTTATTTCGTTGCCTTCTCGTCAGCTGCTTACATGGTAAAGACATTATTAAATATATCTATGAAAACAATGTTAACATACTTGCGCCGAGACTTCATTTTAAACAAAAATCAATCGATTAGTATACACATACACTAGAAATATATACATATATAAATATGCAATATTAAACACTATTCCGAAAACTAATAATCATACACAATGAAAACTGTTTAGCATCACGCATTCAGATGAAGGAGAGATGAAAATATCCAGTTACCAGGTTGGTAAAGAAAGACTGATAACCACTTGTTTCTGGACGCATAAATCAGGTTTCAGGCGCTT